TTGTTTGCCGCTACCTTTATGGATGATTATAATGTAATATAGTGTAGTTACAGTGACAGTGCAATGCACAGTGTCACAGTTTTGCGTGTTAGGAGGCAGTAGATAATGCATGTGATATTGTATGATATGTTTACCGACAGTATTTTGTGTTGTGATATAATTTTAGTTTATATTACATATTACAGGATAGAGGAACATGCAGTTATTTATGTTTAACATTGTTAGCTCTGTAACATGTTATTTCATTGATCTCAATAAGCATGTAACTCGTGTATCCGGCAACTAGGCAGACTTAAACCTTAAAATGCGCCTGGCTAAGTAACCCGAGGGCTTACAGGGTTTTTCAAAGTACAGGTTGGGTCGCAATCTCATATTCAGTGTCCCCAGATGACTTACAGTTGTGCCCGGAATTAATTCAGACCTCAAATTTTCTATCTTTGAAACTAATTGTAGGCTGGAAAAATACAACCGTGAATATATATTTGACCAACATTATTCATACCCCGTATTGACTGATTAATTAATTATCTAAAATTATCTGCTGCATCAACAGCGTGCTTTACTTTTAGCCATCATCAGCCCATAATTTGATCTTGTGTACCCCATTCTTAGCCTTGTTAACACAACTACTTGTTGATTGGGATGGACGCTGTTCACCCAACTCCAATCTCTCCTCCGATCAGCTCGCTCATTTCCACCAAAATGCGCTGGCACCCAACACATCACTGCTGCTGACATCACTGTAAACCAATCTTGAACCTCCCTTACCACTGGATGTGATGAATTTAAACTCTTGACTGTTTGCAAAGCTCAACCTCTAACTCAACCAGATTGATCCAATGGGGAACTGGCTAGTTCAAACTACTAGAACCTTGGATCCACAAAATTCCCCATTCTCCTACCACAGGATCGGCTGTCCTCAAGAGGATTGAAAACCAACCTGGATGTAGGATATCTCATAATCCTTTGCATTCTTGTGCAGTAAATCAGGTTCATGTAGTATCATCGTAATGAAAGAAGTGGTTCTCCACTCTCATCCAACAGGGGCACCACAGGCGAAGACCTGAGAGCCCGTGGACGTATTCAGAGATCTTCATTTTGAACTGAGTTCAACACCTGGAGAACAGTGGGAGTTGCAGATGAATAATCCTCACATCTATAATAACGTTTGCTACGAATAAGTGCTAGGTAAAGTTGCTGAAGCATTCTGGCGTCTGCGCCACAAAACAGTGAAAAACAGCCCACAAAATATTAAGTGCGTTTGTAGCCTCTACCTTTAGCTGTTAGATGTGAGGCTCCACGTAAGCCTTGAGTCAAAAATTAGACCCAAGTATGGGTTTCCCCCTAAACAGAGGAAAGGATGGAACTTTTCTCTTTTGTGGAAATGCATAATTATGGTCTTACTATGGGAGAATTTGAACCTATGGTATGTTGCCCACTGAACAACCTAATTTATTGCAGTCTGCACATCCTGTAAGTTTCCTCCTGGGCAGTACAGTATGAAGTCATCCATATGCAGATTACAGGAGACAGCACTAGAAACGACCCTCATTTATTACTAGTGCAAACAGAGTCACACTTCCAGCTGATCCTCCACGTTAGAGAAGCTGTTTCCCACCCGCACACTAACTTCCTATAAGCAAGAAAGCTTTGTATGAAAGTAGATAATGCTCCTCTTAAACCAATATCATACAGTTTCACGAGTATGCCATGCTTCTAAGTAGTATC